AGACTACCTGACCATGTCGATATTTTTTATCTTTAGCCGTCAGGCAATATAAAAAATACCGTTTTAATATGGAAATTTTCTATTCTAAACATCAAACTACTGCGCACGGGCTTACTTGTAAAACTATATAACCGAACAGACATTTTGACGTCATAGAAGCGCGTTATCGCTAGAGGGCGCACCATCGTTGAGATGTTTGGTATTTCAAGCTTTTTAAATTGGCTGTGCTACTGTCATCTACGTCGGCAATGACGTTCCGTTTCATATAATCGTACAGCTACACAAGATCTTAGCACTGTCGTAGGATAAATATATCTTGACAATTAATACACATGTATAACTATTAGTACTACACTTAGTACTCTTATTAGTACTATAGCCATTAGTTTTTAGCTTTATCTTGGAGTGCGCCTTCACATATTTGAAAAGTGTGGATGCAACTTCAAGAACCAACATAAACAAAGTAGTCCCAAAATAGATGTTTGGCATTTTTCCTGCATTCAAAATAATAGATATATTGTTGGATTTTGATATTTTATTGTGACAGCTTAAAAATTGCGAATATTGGTAATCGCAGATTGTACAAACAAAGCATCTAATAGGATACAAACCATTCAAGACAAACATCGAATAAAGGTAACACAACTTATCTTTGTAACATTGACATAATAATACCAAGTCATTGTCAATTACATAGTCCTCACCATGTTTTTAGTGACTTTGTCAAACAATATGTTTAAATATTGGGATAGCATTTAGCATATTAACACGATGCTTGATAAATAATCAGCATGCACACTGGTGCCATCAAGTTTACATTACTTTCACTGATTGGTTGATTAGGATTCATAGAACACGATGCTTGATCAATAACCAACATGCATACTGTGGTGCCATCAAGTTTACTTTACTTTACTTTCACTGATTGGTTGATTAGGATTCATAGAACACGATGCTTGATCAATAATCATTATGCAAACTGTTGTGTCATCAGGCATGTCTAAAAAACAGTTGACATGTTCAAATTTTGCTCTTTTATTCATTTTTCATAAAAATGGTCACCATTTCACTAAATTTGCCTTTGTACAAAATTTAAACCCAATCTGTAAAATCATCTCTGTAAAATGAGTAGAACCAGTCGGCTATTTTGAATCGAATCACAAAAAATAATGACGTGCATCAGTAACCCGCTATGACTGATGTCTATGCTAAGTTTGAATGAAATCGGTGAAGGCATGTTCAAGAAACCGTTGATGACATGTTTGAATTTTGTGATTTTATTTGTTATTGGCGAAAATGACTGCCATACGGCTAAATTTCAAAGAAAATGAAAATAACTAAAAAATAAACATTTAACCAATTATACCTTGTCTTTGTACAAAATTCAACCCAAATCTGTTCAATCATCTTTGTAAAATAAGCAGAATACTTGTAAAAAAACAAAATGGCCACCGGGCTGTCATTTTGAATCAAATCACCCAAAAAACTGATAAGCATCAGTAACCCAGCATGACTGTTGTCAATGCCAAGTTTGAATGAAATTGGTCAAGGCATATCCGAGAAATGGTTGACGACATGTCCAAAAGTTGATTTTTGGTGTGTTTTGAAAGAAAAAAAGGCCACCAGTCAGTCAAAGGTCAACCAAATCAAAAATAAATTGATATGCACATGTCGACCATTATGACTTGTCTTTGTACCAGCTTTGAAGAAAATCTGTCAAGGCGTCTCTGAGAAATGACAATGGATGGATGCACAAACGGAACCCAAACATAAATCCCTGTCTGGACTACGTGGACAAATGAAAGCACATGTATTGTACATCATATATTTTTTTTTTTTTTATTCATTTTGTTGTGTATTCAGACGTTGGATGATGGAAGACTGTAATTTTGGATATAAATGAGTGACAGCAGAGACTGTAGTATTTCCCAGTATGAGGAACATTGTCAATGTAATTGCTAATCAGCCCAGACATGCCTGAAAAACATGCTGTGCAAAAGTGTGGGATAAAAATGAACACCGGTTGGTCAAATGTCATCAAAATGCACATGGCCTTCAATTCGTCGAATACCCTATGCGTATAATATTTGTGTGCAAACATTCAACTAAATCGAACAAAAAAATATTGAATCTCAAAAAAAAAAATATGACATGCACCTGTTATCCAATATGTATGATCATGAAACAAAGTTTGAATGACATAGCCATGTTTATTTCTATGAAGCAGTCCCGGACACATTTAAGTCTCCGAATTTAGCAATTTTGAGAATCAAAATGGCTGCTAGTCAAATGGTAATAGAAATCAACATGCATTTGTAAGTCATCATATATCAGTCATCGGATTTGAGAATTTTCATGGTGGAGAAAAACACAACTCAAATTAACAGTTCCTGATTTTGACTTTGTCTGAAAATTATGGTATATACATGTACCTTGTAACTTCATTGTCATTAAGGGCAAGGTAAAAGCACTTTTTAGCTGTTGTAACAGGATAAGATGAATCATTGACATAGCTTTGTTAAAAAGTGTGAATTGAAAAGGGAATCATAACTAAAGTTGCCCACACTTACACATCTAAGTTTTGTATGGTCTGAACTAAGCAAGTCAATAAAGACAAAAATTTATTTATAATTTTATTGCCTTCATGTAAAATACTATTTACAGCCTAATATTTACTGTGCTGTATTTACAATACATCATATATAGATATAAATATACACAAGTAAAAACAGATAATTTAATAATGAGTGCGATTATGATGGTTTGAGTGAAACATGACTAAATCAAACAGAAAATAAATTTATTATAATCTTGATAAAACGAATAGTAAAAGACAGACATTGCAATAAAAGAGCAGTAAAAGACAGACATTGCAATACATTTATATACAGGAAGTTTTTTTTTTACCGAAAACAATTCAATGCATGGCCTTCTGACGCCATTTTTTACCCATTCATTTTGGCTGTATTTTTTCAAACTTTTGCTTTTTGTCATCGTCAGTTTGACACCTGCATCGCACTTTTGGCAATTTTGCATACCATGTACAGCAGATAAGGTTTCTGTTTCAAACAAAGTTTTTTTCAATCCTAAACAATCTTAATGCGTGTATTCTAATATTTAATAAATGTTAAATGTTGAACAAATATTTTATTGTTGTATTAATAACTCAAAAACAAATATATTAAAGCAGCATAACACTTCTTTTAGGGGCTGAGGCATTGTGATGGCGAAAAATACATGAACTTAGAACATGAACTGTGGCACTTAAAATAGCAATCGGGGGGGGGGGGGGTTTGACTCTCACCTAGTCTTCTTTTTTAAATTAAACACTAAAATCCATTCACATAGAAATAGTAATTATTGCGTGACACAAACAGATAAATTATCAGACATGAACTGCAGTGGTTTTTAATAGGAAGACGGAGACAATGTAAATACCTAATACTTGTGAATTTTCCAATATTCACATTATATAAAGGTGGGATGCACTGCATCTCAGATAATGCAGAGAGCGCCCTCAACAAGCATTTATAAGAATATCAAGGGTCACTGTAGACTTATAGTTTGTCCCACGCAGCTTTGTACTCATGTAACGAGATTGGAAAACAGTCTGAAAAAAAACTTATATTTATCCACCACCTTCGCAGGTTTAATTGTAAGCATAGATCATTG